GAGGAGGAAGTATCCCTCCCGGTGTGTCTGGAGTCAAGCAAAGTATGGATTTTCTACATTGGGATATTCAAGGAGTGAATAAATATGAATGCGCTGCAGGATTTAAAGGCTGAGTCTGGTGTTTGGGGAATACCTCATGTTTCCCCCCCATTTTGCACCAATACCAATGAAAGTTTTTGGCACTCAATCAGAAGTAGCAGAAAGAGAATTCTCGATAAAGTGTTTTTTTCTGTTTTATTGTTTTACATACAAAATCATAGACAAAATAATCGTCCGTTAATATTGAGAACTATTAAAATCTCTGGTATTGAAGGTTATATATGATAACATTTCTATAGTTGTGTTTGTTTTGACTTTGTCTTTGTTCTTTGGTGATTAAACTCTTCCATCCGCCGCACATCCTCTATCAGGGCAGACTAAACAATCTTTGAAGAAGGTCTGAGCAGGTACAAAAAAGACAAGTGAAAGAGAGGCACTGCAACAGATCCCTGTCTCATTTCTATCTAGACCAGCCCACCAAGGAAGAACAGGAAATGCTATATCTTGTATCACTTGGCCTGCCCACTTAATGGTGCTTTGACAGTTTATGTCTTGCCAATCATAATCACAGCTGAGGTGTCAGTGAATCAGCCTTTTAAAGTTCAACGGCTTCTCCTTTACATTCTTGGAGCTTTAATCTCACCCCACTAACAAAAACACATTTCAGTTACTCAGGTTCAATTCAATGTATTCTTGTACAGCCCTAATTTACAACTGTAGTTATCTCGGAGGACTTTACAAAACTGTTAATTCGCCGGCACATCAAGCAGATCAAACATAAGAAATGGACTGATAAAAGAAACACATAGAGCCATTGGTCAATAAAGGGCGGATGACTAATGTCCATAAATGTTGATAAAGTCCATAACCGTTGTTGAATGTCACATGTCCTAGATCCTCACCATTGTCCTTAGACCCTCCTGCAACCGGCAAGGAAAAGCAAAAACAAAATAGTGGGAGAAAAGTGATAAACGTCAAGAAATCCCACATTGAGGTTCTCTTTGAAAAACTATGAAATCATGAGGTCAAGCTTTTCTCATAAAGACATCGCTGACTGCATACATAATTGCACTAGCCCACCCAGCCCTTCTGCAGAAATGCTGTTTACGAGCACTTTATGTTGGCTGTCACACTCCCATGTTGTAATGACGTTACCAGGGATTACAACGGTTAGCTGAGCTTCACATTACAACACTTCACGACTGAGTTCTCTGGCTTATTATTTTCTTTCTTGCAACAATGCTCAAAGGCAAACAAGCTGCTTAAAATCTGCGTTGGGAAACATTGGCACATGCTGGCTGGTGAGAGGCCCGGGTGAGGTGTGGGTGTAGTGGACCACCCCTGAAGGAACTAGATCGAGTGTACCAGCGCTCTGGCCGAGTGTGAGCTGTGTGCCAGATGGACCTTGGTTGACAGGTTGCTAATTGTTTGTCCTCTCCATGTGTTAGGCAGAAACAAGCTGGTTCCGTCGGACGTTATCGACCGTCGTGAAGCTGATTACAGATAGCTTCGGGCTTGTGCAGACGATTCGCACGCTTTCATTTTGGTTAGATCTGTGATAATGAGAAGGCCGCATGTTTGCCTTTAAGATGATTTGATTACATGTGGTCTCCAGAATGAAGGTGGTTGGCTAAGTTGTTTTTTTCAAGCGTTTGTGGGCCATCCGTGGTGTGTTTGGTGGTCTTTCAAGCCCGTGTGGTTGCGGAACCCGAGTGTGGTTGTCGTTATATGCATGTGAATCTGTCAGGAGTCTATGTGTTGCATGGTTGAAGGCGGGGTTATGTTTACAGAGTGGCTCCCAAAAGAGTCCACATCTCTGACCCTCGCATTCCTGGTGCACCACTAATCACCTCCGTGTGCCGCTCGTCGACGACAAACCCCATTCTACTGTTGTATTTCCCCAGGTTTTTCTCTCACCTCGCCTCCTCTCCTCCACATCCCAATCTCTAGACTGTGCAGGTTGGCCTACATTAGCCTGATGGTGTATTGATCGGTGAGAATATGATCCGAAACTGTTGAACAACTCCAGTCTGCCGGGCTGCCTGTTGTCATTTTTATTTCTTTTTCGTGCTGAGATTATTCTAGGCTGTGGTCATAGATGTGTAAATTAGAACCAGAACATTTTTCGCTCTCCACCCTCCTCCCATTTTTTACTGAGCCCCAACTTCTTTCACTCCATCTCTTTTCACAGTTTGAAAAGACATTCCTTTTTGAGTGTGGGTGCATTGCAGAGTGCCAGAGCTGGTCCCCTCTTAGGCCCCCACTGGCATGGTGCTCCTTTGACAATATCTTGGCCAGGTGCAGCCTCGCAGCTGGCTGACAGATGAGGTGGCGGTGCTTCTACTTTCTTGGGCCTTGTTGTGAAGACTGTTTGAACGTTGTTGTGAACTGCACAAGTTGCAGCAAGATGTGTGTATCGACTCAAAGTCGAACTGCAGCCAAGTAACTGTTACCAAAGAATGAAAATGAAAGTTGAAAGAATTATTGACATCTAATGACTTCTTAATGGGGTAGCAAGTTACTACAAGATAATACTACATGGCACAATGATTGATGGGTGGCATAGCAATGTAAGAATGCAGCCACAACAATAAAATGAAATCTGATACATTTTAATGTTTTTAATCCAATATCGTTGCAGACGTCTGAAGTTGGCCACAAATAAAGTGCCTGCGAAGGATTAGAAAATGTATTATATAAAAGAATACTCAAAGGCATTTATTTTTGTGCGTGGAGTGTAAGTGAATTGCTTGTCTCTGACTGATGCATTAGTGCTGTTTACCCGCCTGCCCTGTCAGAGCTCCATTAGACGGATGTCTGCATGCTCTGAAAACCATCTGCCTGTAACCGCAGAGCGTTAATGTACAATCACTTCACAGCTTCCTTGTCAATACCAATATATTGATTATTGAGAAAATGCTCTCAAAAGAGAAAGGTTAAGGTTAGGGTACATTAATCATTCATGTAATTGATTTGTCCTCTGCACTTGACCCATCCTGCAATGCCACCACAAGACAAACTCCAGTCCCAAAACAACTAGTTCTGACCGTCCTCAAACCCAGGACCATCTTGCAATAAGTGAAAGTGCTAACCACTCTGCCACTGCACCTACCTTATACTTAAAACTACAACAGTGGGCACTTTGTTTTTTTAAGCCTTATCTTAAATTTTATCTAATCCAAGCCTTATCTAATCTCTATAGAGTGATTCTATCCATGCCAAATGTGACATGTACATTTCTCCTGTGTGAGATCAATAAAGTCTATCTTATCTTATCTTACTACTGTAATTATTTTATAGATGTTGTAAACAATATGTAAAATGGAGATGAACAGCTTTATATCTATGTAGGCCTCCAACACGGCACCATACACACAGATAAAGGAATTAGAACAAGATCTTGAGATACAGAGGTCCTTTTAGTTCTCAGAAAAGCGTATTTTTCTTGGTACTTATGACTCTCTTCACGTACCAATGCTTACCTGACTGGCTGAACGCAGCAGAGTTTTCCCTATCTGCTCACTGGCGTCACCGTCTTTCACTATCTCCTGTGCACCCTGCTTCCCTCTAGCTCGACCTACATTTCCCCGCTCTCCTGTCATTGGAAGTAGTTTTATCCTTTTATCTGTTTTGTCTTTCTAGCAGGGCAGGGTGACTTCAAATACAAAAGTCCCTATTGCAACTGGTAGACCTTGGTTGTCAGTAGTTGAGCAGTTAAGCCCACAGATAAAAACGCATGGTGTCGGGTCTTAGTGGTAGAATGGTTTTGCGCATTATGTTTGAATAGTTTTGTGTGTTTTGGCCTGGTTTTTCAGCATGTATCCTTAGCACAGATCTGGTCACGTAGTTGGAGAGATTCCCTGGCTGGGACAGTGTGTCGTCCTGGGAGGGTTCCAACAAACCAGCAGCAGGCCGAGGGTTAGAGAGAGAGCTCCGGTTAATGATTAGTCCCATGTTCTGGTTGCATTCCACAGGGTGACAAGGGGACATGGGATAGGGGACATTTCCTGGCAATGGAAAGTTAAAAATAAGCTTGGATTTTTGCTATGATTGATTTAAAAAATGAAACAGGAGAAATTGGCAAGACAGTAAGTTGACTTTGACCCCCTAGTGATGCACATGATACTCATTTGTTTTAATTAGTGACCAACCAGAAACATTGTGAGCATGAAACTAGGGCAAAAAAGAAACAGCGGCCCACGAGTTCAATTCATTGATTTTCTTGTTATGGGGTAAAGCCTCTGAACTAGACTGAAAAACAACTTCATGGTAGATTAGATTGGTCTTACTCTTATTCTTGACGTGAATCTGTATCATGAACTCAGGCTCTGCAAAAAATGGAAAGATTCCTGTCTCAAGTTTGGTAGATTAGTGACTTATCAACACCTAAACTAAAATCAACAGATGCTAATATTGTGGCAGTAACATTCAGAAGGGCCTTTCACTGTAGTTGGATTAAATATTATGCAAAGTGAAATATGTTTGGAGATTCAATTATTAGTTTTGGTCTTGTTTTTATACATCGGAATTGTGATTGAATTTTCTTCCCAAATCGCCAAGCCCTATAATAAACTATACGATCTAAATACAAAAAAATGTACTTCAAAAATGGAAAAGAATATCCATATTGCAATTCAAAAAGGTCTTTAGTCATAAATGTAATCGAGTTTGTGTAATAACTTATCGTCTTAATTGTCCACATTGTCCATCTGTCCATCCTGGTCATTCTTCCTTTGGTTAAATTTGCTATGCTAGGAATGCCTGATCCCCGGGGAACCTAGACATCCTGACTGGCACTCATTAAATGCCCCCTGTTCACGTTTCATCTCAGGCCAACGCTCTGGTGAGACAGAAGAAGCCTTCTTTATGTCTCCCAACCATCACCTCTCATTTTCTTTTCATGCTTCAAAGGCAGCATAACTTATCAAACCATCTTTTTTTTCTTTTTTCCATTTCATTAGCCTCCATCCCATTCTTTGCATGTGAGCTGAAAGCAGTGACTACATACAAGCGAGGGTTCTTCTGTGGAGACACGAGTATCACCTATCCATACGTGGAGAGGGAGGCGATTCCCGACGGTCTGCTTATTGCTGGTGGCATCGCTATCACAGGCGTCACAGTGAGTAATATTTATTTTTATAGCGCTATAAAAAAATATTGCTATTTTGTAACTGTAGTCATACAGATATTTGCTTTACAAGAAACAGGTTTGCAATAATGGCTCATGTTTTATTTTCCTTCCAGATAGCGCTGGGCGAGTGTTTTAGGGTCAAATTCAGAGGCGTGCACTCGCGGGCCTTCGTTCGAAACAGATATGTGTCATGTCTATATAAGGAGCTGGGGAGCTTCCTGTTTGGCTGTTGTATTGGTCAGTCACTCACTAACATGGCCAAGCTGAGCGTCGGGAGACTGCGGCCAAACTTTCTTTCGGTGTGCAACATCACCTACTCGTCCATAAACTGCACCACAGGCAGCTACATCCCTGTGGCCCACTGTCGGCAGAGCAACGCCAAGCTGGTCGAAGAAGCTCGGTGAGTCCTTGTACTGTATATTTGTTGTATTCAATGGTTGATTAACTAAGGGTGAGGCTTACTTTACTTTGAAGAAATAACTTATAAGTAACTGAGTAACTATGTGATTTTTATTCTTACAGGAAGTCATTCTTTTCGGGCCATGCATCGTTTGCCATGTACACAATGATGTATCTAGCAGTAAGTATCACATATACTGTAGGACTACTTAAAGAACAGCCCCACAACAATCCGAAACTTAAAGAACTTAGTCAGAGGTGTCCAAACTGGTCCAGAAAGGGCCGCTGTGGCTGCAGGTTTTCTATCAGACCCAGCAGGAGCAGCGCAGACTCCGCCCATTTCCTCAAGTGAGTTCAGTCTTAACCTGAAGATTTGATGAAATGGGTGGAGTCTGCTCTACTCCTGCTGGGTCTGATAGAAAACCTGCAGCCACAACTGCCCTTTCTGGACCGGTTTGGACACCTCTGAACTAAGTCTAAGAGCATTTACATTTATGTTGATGGGTGCCACACCTGCTCGTCTCAATGGATGTTTTTTTTTTGCTTCAGTGAAACTCCATTGCTGTGTTTCGATAACAAATGACCAGAATATCACACAATATGATCCTGGAACCAGTCCCAGAACATTTAACGTCTGCTCTGTTCACATACAGTATACATACTGAACTGGGCTTTGAGAGATTGACAATACTGGGAATATCTGGGAAATTTCCAGATCAAAAATGAATTCACAAATGCCAGCCTGACTTTGTGAATGGGGCTTAATCGTATAAATGCATGCTATGGGGAACATTCCAGGCAAAGCAAAAACACTACAATGGAGACAAGCAGGTGGCCGTGCACCCTCCTATTATGGTATATCGAGCTTTGCTAATTAAAATACTAGTGGTCTAAGCAACTGTTGTCAGATTTTGAAGGTTTGAAAGAAGAAAAAAACCCACTTCCGATTTATTAAAGAAGCCGCAGGACCCTCGAGGCCCTGGACAATGTGCCAGCGAGTCACCAGATAAGCTAATTACACATGCACACAATGATACATGCAGCTAAAGACATTCACACGTCGCTCATCGAGAAGAACTTTGAGAGCGGCAAAATCGTCTAAAGACCTTTTTTTTCCTACTTTGGAGCTAAAAAAGAAGCAACACAGAAAGACAGAGACGAGGGAGTTAAAGAATGGCGAATGTTTTTCCACTGGGAACATGAATAGTTGAAGAGACTGGGCAGACAGAGGAGGCCTTGTTGTGGATCTCATTTAGCACAGAGAGGGAGAGAGAGAGGGGCCTGCTGAGAGATCGACAGACTTCTTTCAGCGTGAGACCGGGCCCCCCCCCTTCCCTCCGTCCCCACAGAACTCTTCATCTCTCCTCTTTTTGCTTCGAGTCGGCACTGCCCAGTAATCATCGCAGCATTGTGTGCCAGAAATGACAGTTAGAGGGAGACAAAAGCACATTATTATCCAGATAATGTCCACATTCCTCACTCTCTCCTTCTGGGGTCCGAAGCGCTGATTGAAATGTAGGATGGAAGTAGCGGTACGCACCAAATATTATGTTAATGGCGAAAGAGAGACGCTAAAATAGAGGTCGGTGCCAATGACATCTGCTGCATTGGATGTGGAAAGATGGAACAGTTATTAGAATTGCTAAAAAAGGTTATTGTGTATTGTGCCCGTTGCTGTGCTGCTCAGCTGTTACCATTGGCTTAGTGCAAATTATTAAAGGGGTTTTTGCATTGTGGCATAGTTTTTTCAGTTTGGATTTCTTCAGTTGTTCTAGTGCTGTCTTAGGACTTTAAAAGTACCTCGATAATAATGCAATTTTTTTCTCAACATAACGATTATTTGGAAGTTTCAACATGAATTGGTATATATTCTTCAAAAAAAGGAGTGATAAAATAAATAATTGCAATAACTATAATTCAATCCTGTGGCTGATTGGCCCCTAAAAAGCTGCTGCTGTGATACTGTAGACACCAAAACAATCCACCATTCAAAAACTAGAAATTTAGGAACTACTTCAGCAAATTTAAATGTGTACTTCCACTTTTCTTGGGAACCGCAGCATTAATTTCCTCAACGTGACATGCCTCATAAATGCCTCATACATCATATTTCATTGTTTTTTTTTATGATGACAACCAACAAAACAAACCATTGTCTTTTATTGATATCACAATTTGTTCAAAAGAATTGGGTGTGGTTTTTTTTATGAGGCTAACGATGTATTTGATAATTGTGGAATTGTAAAAAAAGCCGCGCTCATCTGATGCACACAAGTCCGAAGAAGACAAAGAGCCTGTTGTTTGCGACAGGTTTTGTCTCCCTCTTCATCCGACACCACATTTCTCCTCACAGCCCAGAGCCGACACACACACACACACACACACACACACACACACACACACACACTGTTACATGCAAGTCTTTCAACCGCTCGCAGCACATAGCCTGGAGCAGTTAGCATGTCAGGCCTGTATGTACACGCCACGCGGACTGTGGCCAGCTGCTTTGCTTTAATGCAGCAGGAGTGACACCTGCTCAGTAAAGGTACAGCGTTGTCGGAGGAATGCGGCCCGCGACATCCCCAGAGACTGACCGCCCCGAAAGCCCCCGACCGCCCCCGCCCGCCTTATAAAAAGTCCACTACATGTGCAGCCATCACCTCTCGACCTTGTTTTACAGCGCCACAGTCACACACGCACAATGCTGATGTAGAAGCCAGGCAGGGATGGACAAAGGGAGGAAATAGACTAAAGATAGCATTGATGGAGTCAAGTTATTTTCCACCCAAGCTGCAGCAGGAGCAGAGAACAAAGAGATTCAAGTCTGCTCTGAGGTCATATATAAATGAGACATATTGTGTAGGCACTCAATGTTTCAAGCACTGTCAAAAAATATTGGCACTCCTTAAAATTGGGAGCAAACTCATTTATCATTCACGTACAGTACAGTATGTAATGGGACAAAACCAGGGAAATTGCTCATATTTTTTACTTTGCTCTTGGTTTATCTCCTAGACACTTATCTCTTCATCGCTGTGTTGTTGTGTCTTTGTGATCTGTTGTGTTGCTGTCTCTGTGGGGCACGGATGGTTGCTTGCATTTTTGTGGAATTTTAAAAGTGTGTAGGTTTGTTTTGGGATTTCAAACGCGTTCTAAATGTTTACTATTACTATTATTATTATTAGTAGTAGTAATATTATTATAAATGAGGCCCATAATGTGTGATTTAACTTTAAGGAAGTACAAAACGGTATGATATTATACTACTGCAAGGGTCATAGTCACTCAAAATAAAAAGCCAGACAGGAATCTCCATAACATAGACATAGTATGGCATTTTAAACATACAGTACTATAACCTTGTTCTTGTAAATGCATGTTCTGCCCCATAAAGGGTATTGTAAAAGCAGTACTTTACTGTGCTAGGTCCATTAAAAAGGAGATTCCCGTTGAACTCAGAGGGAGAGTAGTCGTTGAGTGTTGGCGGTCCGTCCCTGTCTTTAATTTTACTGACTGATAAAGCAGTGTGCAAGCTGAAAATACATGCAAAAGTTTATGAGGCCAATGATTTGTTGTTCTCTTCATTTCCTTTTTTACATGATCTTTTCTTAGAATAGACTATCTTCAATTTGCAAATTTGTCGCTAATGTACAGAATTGCAATAGATAAAGGGAGGAATAAGTCCAGAACTCAAAATGTCCAAGAAAGTATCACATATCTGCTTGATTTTGAAGGTTCATGGTATCTGTATTATCCCCAATGGGCCATTTTGATTTCATTTCAATTATCTGATCGATTCTGTGTTCTGCAGTTTTATCTACAAGCTCGGTTGTCATGGCGAGGAGCACGTCTGTTGCGGCCCCTGATCCAGTTCCTGTTGGTGATGATCGCCATCTACACCGGTCTGAGCCGCATCTCCGACTACAGGCACCATCCCACGGACGTTCTGACCGGCTTCATCCAGGGAGGCCTCACCGCATACTGGGTGGTACGTCCCGGGGTCACTCTTGTCCCTGATAAATACAACATAACTTTCTAATCTCAGTCGGTATAAACAGCGATTGCCTGAATGTGTGGTCCAGCGCTTATTTATTCCACTGAAGTATTTCCGTCATGTTTAAGGAATACATATTATGTGTGCATCCCTACACATGATACTGAGTTTATTTTCATGTTTTAGAATGTGGAATAGTCTCTTAATATATGTCTTAGTATATGTATACGTCTTAATTTGTTAAGATTTTGTACATAATTCTTGCTTCATCATTAAACTAAAGCTGTAGATTTTAGATTTGCTTCCTTATTTTGCTAAAATTATTTATATTTGCTTCCTTATTATGCTAAAGTTAGTTTTTATTGTATTTTATTTAAGTATAGAGTTATTGTTCATCTTGTGTGCTCCTCATTCCTACCGTTCTGCAACCTGTGATGCAACACTGAAATGTCCACAGTGTGGGATGAATAAAGGATCCCTTAATCTTAATCTAAATCTTAAATATATTAGATGATGAAACGTGTAGGAACAATATACAAACCCACCAATGAAAACATTGCCCATCAATAAAATGTCCAAAACTATTTCGCAGGTAATAATTTAAAAGTAATATTTATGAATATTTATGTATGTATTTCTTGTACGCGCACTTTGACGAATCCGTGACCTTAGTTCGTGCACTATGAAAGTTCTGCAATATTCTTCACTCTGAGATCTCGGTCAAAATGTCAGTGTCCTCCCCCAGACTGGAACTTCTTACAGAAAGTCCATAGTCTTGTGGGACGGCTGCTGCTAAAATCTGTCTTCAGGCAAGACCTTTAAATGTCCTGGATCATCACTGTCCTTAGACCATGGGTGTCCAAACTTTTTAGCGAGAGGACCACTTTAGTTCACCAAACTAGTCCAGGGACCAACATCACGGAATGAAAAACTATCTTGGCATCGGGCCGTTCTGAGCTATATGATGAGCTTAAGCTGGCTGAATGACAAATGTTTACCATCTCTCAAGCTACTGTAACACCATTTACAGTGTGTGCAAGTAAAATCAACAACGTACTAGTCTAAATTGGCTGAGCTGAAGTTGGATGGATGACACAGTGAACTTGTGTTTATTAATTTTTTTTTTTTAATTATTTTTTTTAATTCATTCCGAGCAAGTAAGCGGGCATAGAAATAATTAGTTCAAGCAACTTAGGTACATGTACACAATATAACAAAGGAGTGATAACAAAAAGAGTGAGTGATACTAACATAACACTTATGGATGCTCGAAAAGGAGTGGGAAGAAGTGAACACTTATTTAATCCCACCCCTAATTCAAATACTACTTTGTGCTAGCTAGGCAGAGGGCCACATAAAATGACAATGAGGGCCGCAATTGACCCCCAGGCCTGAGTTTGGACATGCCTGCCTTAGAACCTCCTGCTTCGGCAAGAAACGCCTGAAAAAAAAAAAAAAATTCCAGTGGAAAAAAGACAGAAAAGTCTTGGAAACCCATATTGAGAGAGGGATCCGCTTCCTCGGGCGGACAGTATACAGATCCAGGACTCAGGCTGTAGAACGGGGACCCAGGTCTTGCGGTGCAGGACATGATTAATGTTTCTTTTATCGCCCTAAATCACAACAGTAGTTATCTCGGAGGACTATACACAACCTTTGAATTCGCTATTTTTGACAAGCCTAATGTCTGTAATGTCTATACAGATTGTTTAAATGTGTTTTCTTTTTCTCGCCTCCAGGCTTTCTACATCTCCTCCATGTTTAAACCGTGTTCCCGTCCAGACCTGTCGCCCACCTCCATGTCTTTGGAGAGCCCACTATCCAGCCAGCAGACCGTCTGTTAGCGCCTCGTCCACGTACGCCTCACTTATTTTTTGTTTTTGCGAAAACAGACGGACTTACGGCACGACAATGAAAGGGAATTTGTCTGAAAGAAGAACAGATGCAATCAAACCCAAAACACAAACCCAGGAATCTATCTCACACACGTATGAACCACAGAAGCACAACCGACTGCAACTCGGACCGTCCAGCCAACTGCATTGCCCTTTCCCAGATTTTTATATGAAAACATCTATTTTTGAGAGGACTTCTAGAAGCTGCTAATGTTGATAGTTTATTTGTATTTTTTTGTCCTCATGTGACGGAGGTCGGTGTATGCTCTCGCCCCACTGGTATTTCTTTATTGTTTGTGAAGACAAGAGGATTTTTTTGTGTGTGTGTGCTTTTTTTCCTGGAATCGTCCCGGAGTCTCGGCTCAAACGAGGAAACGCGTTGTCCCGATTAGTCCAGCTCTGAATCAACAAAATCTGCTCTATGATGCAATCTTTAATCTCTAGACTTTAAACTTTTAAGTAGTTCATAAGGAATTATATATGGTTATTTCCTTCTACTGTTGTTTTGTTTGTTTTCTAACCACTTTTCCTTGTGTCAGAGGAGAACGACTGAATTAGCGATTTGTTAACCATTGCCCCAGACTCCTGCACCTTGATTTATGCCACTGTCAACAGGGGTCCTTCCTCCCCTGTGTGTCTCTCTATTATTAGCACTTGAAAGTACATAAAGCAAACTTATTATAATCAGTATAATGTATTTTATCTCACGTTGAATAATCAGTGTTTGTTAATGGCAAACTTATACACTTTGTTTGTATTTTGAATGATAATTATTCAATTGAATGTAAATATTGTATGTCATTTTGAAAAACCACAAATTCAAAAGTATTAGTTCTTGTTTGGACAGTTTTACATGTGTTTATTTTACATTTCGTTGATCAGGTACGAAGATTTTTTTTTCTTTTTTTGTCTTTTTTCTCAATAGTTTAATGTTGTAACTACTAGACTGAGCCAGAGTTATTATCATCAGAAAGCTATCTTTTTTGTGTTGGTAGATTATTACTATGTCATCTGTGAACGCCGCTATGGCAGAAATAACCACTGTACTCAAAAACCAAACCAATAAATGAATGTTGAATATTTAGAAATGGCTACTTTTGCGTTGTAAGCTATTCTTGTCATGTAACTCTATACACGATATACATCTCTTAAAGTCAACAAAAGGAATAAAGGTGGAAGAAAACTGTAGGGAAACATTTATGGGAAGAAATTGCTCTGCATCTAGAAGCTCATGTGGCAATTTTGCTTTGTTGGCGCCTTAAGGGCTAGCTTTCACAATGATAGCGTGGGAATAACCAGGAATGGCGGTAAAAAACATCTGGGACTCTAGTCTAGTAGGGGAAGGAATGGGTTTATTTATATATCTATTAGACCAATTTGATACATTTTTGATATGTACCTTCTCCAGCAAAGCTTAACTGTATATTATATTAATGACGGTAAATAATCTTCATATCCAACGTCAACCCTAACGATAACATTAACTATCCCTAACCCAACCCTTAATCACAAACACATACACAATTATAGTATTTACCAAGATTATCGTCAGTCCTAATCTGCCATACGACACCCAGAGCTACTGCTAATATTACTACTTATGTCTGTGTACTACTACTAATATTACAGCCACTGCTTATACTTGTTCATGTGATAGTACAACTAGAACTATTGCTACTACTATTACTACAAATAATAATAGTGGCAGGAGGATCGTCTCTGTCTTGTACACACTGGGGTAGTCTTGCACAGTTTTTCCAATGTGGTTTTACTGCAAATGGCAAATAAATTCTTGAATATAATAATTCTACTACTGCTGCTACGATTAGTACAGCACAAAACTAACTTGTCACCGTGTCTCCAGCCTGGCACATCGTTGAATAATTCCTAAATGAATAGCTTGTTTGCAGAATAGTGAGGTGAGCCCAAATATAAACATTGACATAAATGATTTAACCTCTGTCTTCAACTCCAGCGCTTTTATTTCTTGAGCTATTTTTCTTCTCCCTCCACGCCCCTTTCCCCTGCACTGGCCTTTTCCTGCTCCCTGTCCCTTTTGGAGTGCACTGAAGCATGATGGGATGTTTTAGGGGGTCGTGCTACCATGGAGATGCTTGGCCCGATACAGATTATGGGCCATCTAAAAGGTCTTTTTCTTACCCCCACCTCTCTCACTTTGCCGAACCGCTTCCAGGTGGCGGGGGAAGAATGAAAAACAGGCAAAAACGAGATGGAACCCTAATGGCCGCCACTGTTATGCTAAAGGGAAAGGACTGGTTTGTGAGCAGTTGGCAGAGCAGATGGGAGGGCGTGGGGCTGCAGGGTGGGAAGAATGTGATTGTGGTTTTGAGGCATATTTTGTTTCATAATACAGTAACTAAGGAGACGTGTTTGATTGCAGGGCGATGTCATATTCGTGAGACAGAAATGCATGGATGAACAGGTGTGTCTGGAAGCACTGACAGTTTAGTAATGTCACAGCATTGAATTGCAAGGAATGTCATTTTGGAGATGGATGTACTGTAACTGCATGCTTTTCTCACTTTGACACGTTTTCAAACACACTTCATGGTTTTGATTCAATTAATCATGCACATTTGTAATAACAGTCAGTAGCTTTAACAATGTAGCCGAGAAGTGATCAAACTATCAAAACAAGCTGTTCAGAACATGTGAGGTCCAAAACTACAGAATGCGTCTTTTGATAAAACTCATTTTTCTACAGAATAAAGCAGAATATTTTAAAACTGCTCTGTTTACAGACTCTTACCCAATGCAAGCTCTGTGAGATTCAACAAATAAAACAAGAAATACAGAAATATCTCAATTCAATGATGAAATAGTTTTGACCGGAAACATCTATATAGTAAAATGTCCTGCAGCAGCTTCACTTAACTTTTTCTGCATCAAATTAAAATACATCAACAATCATACAAGCATTAACATGTTCACTAATTCCATTGAAAATTGTGAAAACACAGTCCTTCTGTTGTATGCTCGGATAAACAGACATCAGAATAGAAGGCTGTCTCATATTGTCATGAAGACTGTTCCAGATTCTGGCTGCATAAACCTGAACTGCTGTCTCCCCATGTTTAGTCCTGAGTTTAGGCATCAAGAAGAGAAAAGTCCCTGTGCTCCTCACACAAAGTACACACTATTTGTCAGTTGCATGCAGCCCTACTTAATTATGTTACATTGATTGCATTGACATTAGTAGACCCAAACGTAAACATATTGAGAATGGGTGAAGTGCAGTATTCACAACAGACAGACAGCATTGCATATGGGAATCAACTGTAACTGGCCTAACCTGGTGTATTCTCTGGGATTGGACTCATTTTGTGGCCACGATGTCAATAAAAACTACAGATTATTAGAGAGCTTTTTGAAATAACAGAAACCTGTAGAGAAAACGTTTATGGTATTAAGTGGTATTTCTGCACTTTTTTAACCCATCTAAGACAGACATCAAGAACAATAAGCCGTTGTCTTTTTTGGTGAGGGCTGTTTTAATTGTATGGTTTTATGATCTGTTATTGGCAAATCAAACATCTTGTATTGACCTTTGAGACAACGCTAGTGATTTACACACTTACCATGTATCCTTGCTCTGCACAGTTCCAAAATGATAGTGTCAACAAATGTCATATTAAGAGAGACAGAGAGTGAGGAGGCTTCCAACTTGTAGCAATCATCTTTTTGGAGGCCATAAGCCCAGCCAGGAGAACCCTTTGTTAGTTTGAGACTGAGCCGAGAAAAGTCATTCAGAAGAAGGACCAGGGGAGAGCGGGGAACCAAGCACGACAGAAGGGAAGACAGACTGATGGACCACCATCTCCCGAAACAGAGTGACCCCTGGGCACTCCCAGACCATGTGGAAGTAGGTCCCAACAGAGTCACCATGGCCCAAAGTACCATTCGGGGCGGGCATAGACTTCATGAAAAAAAGTCTGCGGGGTGTTTTTCTATGTGCAGAGTTCATTTGGATTTGTTGGTGTTTTGGATTTTTAGAGGAACAAAGCACACATGTCATTATTCAATTACTTGCTTTATCTTTTTATATGTTATACAATTTACTGGTCGATGTTACATGTTGGATGGGCGTCAGTGAGCCAGAATTCTGCAGTGTTGTGCTGCCTTCCCTGACTGTGTGTGTTCTGAGCTCAGCCACAGTCAAAGCTGACGTCTCATTTACTCTGCGCCTGCTCCTCTGCCCCGTGAGCAAGTGTTCAGGGGTCAGCGGCGGCACAGGCCCACCGCTCTGTGTGTGTGCACATTACCCAAGGCGAAGCAGACGAGTCTCTATTTACCCAAAGCACACACAAGAAAAAGCAGCAAGGCCACGCGGAGCCAGACATATTTGAACTCCTACCGTAACAGGTGAAAGCCATTACCACCATTCTTCAGCATGTGAACAGTGATATCACTGGTGTAGGCACAGTATTAGCTGGAGTACCTAACTTTCAAACCACAGTAATAGTAATATACAATCCATGTGACTAGTTCCTACCTCTCCAAACTCTCTTTGTATCAATATTTATCACATGGATATAATTAGGACCTCTATCACATCTTTCAATCGGCTTTTCAGTGAGAAAGAGAGTCAGCCAATCAGCTCACAGTATGTTTAATGTTTTCTGATACAATAGCAATAGCATCTTGTGGTCTGATTTGTTCACAAAATGTTACTCCAGCTTTGACGGTTAAATATTAGTAATTACAGGACTTTTAGTATTAATACATTACAATACTATATAATATATAGTTTTACAGTTGTAGCACAGGCATAAATAGACCTAATTATAGCCATAAATGGACCTATTGTTATTTACAATGTGAAGAATAAGATAAAGAGATCAGTTATCTCTCCCACAGTGGGGAAATCATGATAACTTTTAACTTTTCAGACTGTTAACTAAATGCTTTTACAGCTGTAGTACAAGTTG